ATTTAAAAATTAAAAACTAAATAAATTCATATAAAGATATGTTATAATCCCTCCAAATTCAAGGGATATGATGAAAAATAGAAGGATAAAGGGGCTCTATGCATCTATCTTCCCCCCTATATTAAAAATGGTAATCCAAGTAAGAAAATCAAATAAGGAAATGGAACATTTCTCCTCACGCTCCTTCCCTTTCCCTCCCAATTCCCCAGTCCAAACAGACTAGGTAAAGAATTAAAGGAACAATTACTAGAGATTGTCTGCAAGGCAAAGATTTGTTGTGAATCGTAATAATAAGCAGTCAACACTAGGACTAGGAGATGGGAAGATGGGATTTGCAGAGAAGACGGAATAAGAAGAAGAGGAGGATAATGAGTGTTGGAGGCAGTTAGCTCTTGCCTTGGCCGGGAGTCGTCGACGGCTTGCTGGCGATGACCATTCTTCGTCGGTTAGGTTTTGGGTCGTGTTTTCTTTTTGGTCCAATGGTGTTGGGTCTTAATGTCTTATCACCAATTCACCATTGATGCTGCAACAGCCCATGTTGAGACCCAATCTGCTTGTGCGCCTATAGAACTAGTTTTCTGTATACCAGACCAAGTACATCAGATGAAAGAAAGGTTTGAATTGGGCCTAGCCCCAACTGATAGAGGGAGCACTTTTTTTTCCTATGATGTTCCAAGATCATAGACATTTAGAACATGAATAATAATAATTATGACTAATTTTTAAGATGAATTTATGATAGTTATTGATCATAGTGTGGGTTTCTTATGAATCTATAAGTTGAAATAATTTCATCCTGAAATTTCGTCATAAATTTTGGTCTGAAAATTATTATTCTTAGAATATATGGATTGGACCTTATTTGATGCTCCTATCACCCTAGTCTGCTGAACAAGTTATGTAATGCCTCAAATCTCATATTAGTGAAAAATTATGAGTGAGTCTACTATATAAATGTGAAGATCAATCATCATTAACAGTTTAAATTTTTGAGGAGTTAGGGATGTTGATTCGAGAACCTATTCAATTAATGACGGGTTTCAACTTAAGTAGTTTGTAGTTAACTACATCAATTCCTAAAAAAAACGTACATGCACCAAAATTACTCGTCCAAAAGTTTTTTGTTGTACTTCCATGACTATAAACCTTTTTATGCTTTTCAATTAGTGCCATGATTTTGGCCGCCTAGAACAACTTTTGCTTTCTGCATTTTTTTT